AAGGAAAACCGAGCACAACGCATTTCGTGTAAAAAGCCCAAGCTGGCCAGAGTCCAAGGTCAAACTGGGCAGCAAGAAACAGCGTGACCTCCGAGATTGTTTTCTTCTCCTATTTGAGGACTTCTGGTGGTTCCGGAGGTTTGGCCACAGGCAGGTGGAGTAGCACAAGTTGTCTGAAGCAATCAAAACCTGGCCAGGGTGGGCTCTGCAAGCAGGAGAGCCTCCCAGGTCTTCCCTCGGGGCTATCTGACAGCCACACCAACTGCACCCCCTTCTAGCTACTGGCAGGACTCAAAAAGGCAGAGAGCAGCATTCTGCATCTGCTGACGCCTTTGGGTATTCCTCAAGTTCACCGTTCCTGGAGCACGCAGTCCTCGCCCACCTCTCAAGCAAAGGCTCTGGTAACTAGGTCACCAAGATAATGAGGACGCGTGCTGCTGGAGAGCTGCAGAGGAAATTTACTGTACAGACACCCCAGACAGCAGATGATCTAGTGAGGCTGTAACAAAAGCAGAGCTGCTCATGGGACCCACGGCTGTGCCCGGCTGTAACACTGCCAGCTGCACCTCCGTATTATCACTCACGTTCAGACGCAGTTTGCTTTCTTCCAGGGCTTGGCATTTACTCTGCACTGAAGAGCAGAGCAGCAAAGCATCAGCAGGGTCTGCGAAGAGAAATGGCGATGAATGCCAATGCGGAGCAGCAGCGCGTAGACGTAACGACTGCCTCGGGAGATGATCAGACCCTGCAGGCAGTCAGAACCACCAGCACTCCCTTCCCTTGCCATCTGGTCTGAAATTCAGCCATTTGGGTCATACGAAGATCTCATTTTCAAAGCTTTTCAAGTAAAGTCATGACGTCTGGACCATCACTAGAGAGTTTCCAACAGACTTTCTGGGTGAGGACTGGCCGTTCACCTCATCTTCATGAGGCGTTACAAAATACTCAACTGTTAAACCAGAAACACTTCCCACTCCTTTTCAGGAATTGTCAAATCTGACCCCTCCACCCTCAATGTCTCGGGCTACTCAGGGCTGGATCACACTGTTCGGAAATGCTGTTTGCTCTCTTCTGTCAACCAGTTAAGAAAAAAAATAGTCTATCCTGTGAATCCCATTTGCAGAGCAGGTAACGTGAGCTTTCTACCATGAAAACCTTTGCAATTCACTGAAACAGTCAAGGTAAGATTTGACTTGCCACCATCCACACCAGCTCCACTGCTTCCGCTTGCCCAGATACTACGGTTGAGCTCCGACCTGCAGGCTGCTGCCAGGAGGACTTCAGCTGCCACACTCAGCAGATCCTCCAGCTGAAGACGATGTCCTCAGCCACAGCTCGGCTAGGTGAACAACTTAGTGATACACGAAAGTAAGCACGCAGGTCTAAGCACTGGTGCACTGACAGCTACAGATTCCTGTGTCCCAGTAGCACATCAATACTTTGGCCTAGAAATGGTTTCCCAGATAGCATCCTGGAGAGATGTGTCATAGCTGGTTCTTCCCAAAACGAGTGCCATTACCTGCTGCTGTGCTACACTGGGCCCGTGCCACATGGACCAGGCAAGCGTCAGGTCTGCCCCAAGCCTGCTGCTCCTGGAATCTCCCTGTCCGACCTGAGCATCGCTTGACACAGATCAGGGTGGGGAGAGTGCCATTGTCAGCCTACATCCTTACCACCCCTGGTTTTGCCTCATTAAGTTTGCTAAAGGTGTTTCTTTAACACTTAGCAAACTAGAGGTGTGTAGCTACTTACTCACACCATTTAACCATGAGCTCCAATCTTTAATGCCCTCCTCATACAATCAGAAAAATGACAGATTCTCAGCTGGGACTACAGCGTCCTATTCTGACAGCAATGATGAGGTTTGCTACCAAGCACTGGCACATCCAAAGACATTCTCCATCCACCAAAGCACCAAAAACAGGATCTACAAAACCTGGAGGTACCAGACGATTTCAGGGCCACCATTCAGTTACATTGTAAGCTGTATGAGCCATTGACTGATTTCTGTTGATGAAGGAAAGAAATACTACCAGCTGCCAACTTACTGCATTTTAGGCTGTTCAAACTCCAGTTCGCCACACCTCAATAAGGCTCTAGAGAAGCAAAATCTTTGTACCTCGCTGCTCAAGCCTGACTCCACAATTTTGGTTTA